GTAAAAGAGGAGTTAGGTACCTACCCAAGTGACACACTGATAATCCGAAATAAATCCAGGATTAAACCTCAGAGTATTCTGAGTCTAATATGATTGCTTAGCTGCTGAGCTGTGCTCTTTAACTTTCATGGGGGGAGAATATGCTTTGCAAAACTGTTAGACCCTTGAAGAAGAATGTTATTTTTGTTTATAAGAGACATGTAAATTTCTTCAAATATAAATTGGCTCTGTAGCAAAAATTTTAAAATTTTGAAAAGGGAATTAGCAACTAAAGAAATTAAACATGGTCTGGGAAACTGAACTTTGGTGATCAAAATGTCCTTGCAGGAAATTTCCCAACTCAGTGTAGAGTATTACCCCAAAGGGAAGTGGTTGTCATGATCCTAGTTGACCTCAGCAATTTAAAGTCCTTTTGTTCAAGTAGTAACTCATAAAAAGGTTGAATCTGCACAAATTGACTCTGCTCTGGATCCAAGGTGTAACTGAAATGAAGCAACTTGACCTATTTTCACAAGAAAACCAATTAAAATCAAGGGTACTGAGAAGTGGTAAGATCACCTGGAGCTCCATGGTTTCGCAAGGAGGATTCCTATTACAGGGCATTCACCATCTCACTCCAAAATGCCCCTTGGACCAGCCCCTCCTCCAAAGTCTCTCAGGCCTGGAACAAATCACAGAGTCCTTTTCTTTGAGGTTCTCCTTTACTGCTTTCGCCTCAGATAAATAATAACTTAAATAATAACTTGAGCACTATTACTTCTTCTAAGACCATAATAACCAAATGAAATAGGTAATGGCTCTACTTCAGAGATGCAGAAATTGAGACCCAGACATAGTAGGCATCTTGTCCAAGTCACATGACTTGTGCCTGGCAGAGCCCAGGTTTCAACTCAAGGTATCTATTTTTGTGTTTGAGCTCTTAACCACCAAGCCTGCATCCTCTCACTTACACAGATAAGGACAGAAATGTGGATCTGGATATGTATGCATATGTGGGTGGGATATAAATATGGATGCAAATATAGATATAGATGAATATAGCTATATGCCACTATATTTATCTTTTGAATATAAAATAAATAGTAAATATATATAATTGCACTTTTTTTAATGTGTTCTTTTATTTTCATTTCTTTGTAAGCTTTCTTCTTTCAGTCCCTTGTTTCACTAACTAGGTTTTTTCCTTTCTCTCCTTAAACTATTTTCTGCATGAGGATAATTGCTTCTTGTACCCTGAGCAACTGACACTTCCCTGAAATAACTGAAAATACCCGAGGGACAGATTTATAGTCAGAGGCCTTAGGTGTTAAAATACCCTTGGGACTCCAATTGAGCCTGAACATTAGAGCCCTAGGGAATGGATAAGCCTTATCATTTTTCTTTGCTTTCCTTTGCTGCTTATTCTTAATAAATGGCAAAGACTCCTATAAGTATGTGCCCAGAGCAACCTCAAGAAGATTGCAAAAAAGGCATATTCTTCCTCTCGTATTTCCATTGCTGAATTAAAGTGAAAAGCAGGCTAATATTGCTGAAGGCAATATAAGTACAGAAGACATGGAGACTGGATAATTAGGTATATATAAGTTTAGAATAATGGCGGATTTCTTTTTTTTTTGTTTTGTTTTACTTCTCATTTATCGATGTTTTGGCCTCAGAGAACCAAAGATGTAAGCGGAGATGTATTAAGTATGAGGACCTAGGGATACCTCTGAATAATATCAGCCAACAGATGATAGGGAGAAAAGAAACAGGGAAACAGTATGGGAAATAGATCCATCAGCCCGAATACATATTGTGAAAGTGCTCAGGTAATCTAGTTACAGATACAAACCTAAATATGAATTTTGTTTCATTTTGTGAAAATTACATACATTGAGTGCTAAGAAATATGAACCAAATATCAAATACCAAATATAACCAAGAATATGAACCAAATATATGAACCAAAGAAGCTGAACATATTTAACAGTTGTATTAATAAACTGAATCTATTCTATTACAGAATGTTAGCTGCTTATCTATAATTTCTAAAATGAATATTTGAATTTTACTAAATATTGATAATCATATATACTGAAGACTAAAAGTGATATCAGAGATAATCTCGTACAATATTTTATAGATGAAAGACACCAAGGCCCAAAGAAACTAAATGCCTTTGTTGAAGGTCACACAGATAGTTAGAATGACCAGGACTTTTGGATTTCCTATTAAATTTAGTTTTCTTTCTGCTGCATACTGCCTGAGTGGGAATTTCATTAATTTTCACCTAAAATTATTAGTGAGATTTGCAGCCAATCTCAATAACAAGATCATTTCAAAAGAAAATTACTTCAGTAAAAATAATTTTTATTCAGATGATATATTTCATAAACTATGCTAATATTATGGAAAATTTACTTAAGAATAATTCCAAGATTAATTTTGGGGGAAAAAATTACTGAGCATTAAAATCCTTTAATTCACACACAATATTATTCACGAGGGCTGACTTTTACTCTTCTGAATTATTATTGTGTCACCACTCAGAAAACAAACCTAATAAACCAATTTATAATCTCTCCAATAACAGTAGTAAAACTTATAAGTAACTCAATTGACTCTTTCTCTACAGTTACTATGTTTTTAACCATGCTACACCCCAAGAGGATGAGGTCATCCCTTTGTATGTAGCATCTTCTAATCATTTTTAAAAATTTTATTTTAGTGTTTTTTTAAGGCAAGTCAAGTGAAGCAGTGGGAGTGAAGAACCACCACTGTACCCAGATCACACTCATTTAAAAAAAAACCAAACATTTTTTATTTTTTTTCAAATCTTGATAACCAAAGAACTGTATTTTCATAAAATTGGCAGTAAAGGCAAAACAACCCTTAAAAACCTAATGGCTGTGTCTCTCCCCCAAAATCTGACTGAACTATTTAAACAAAAGAACTTCTTTTCGAGGGGGCCAAATAACTAAATTAGGTTATTAAATAGTTGAGTGTGAGAGCTTCCATGGCTGCAATGCTAGAAAGGGGATGTGGATGCAGCTTTCCTAGAATTTAAGCATGGGTGTTATAAGGCTCCCCATGTCTTACTGACTACATGCCAGATAGGGTGCTGGGTGAAAGTAGAATCAGTAAACCTTTCCAGCCTGTGAGGTTAAGAGTACTTACCTGATTTCACCATCAAGAATTCACCTGCAGCCATGTCTGTAGGTTAACCATTTCCAAATTTATAAATGCACCACAGTGAAGTATTATGCAATCTTTGGTGCTATGCCAAGATAATTGGCATGATAATAACTTTTGAGGCTTCTACAACATAATAAGTATTTACCTTATTGGGCATAAGGGATACTTAAGTATTAAGCAAAGTAAGTAACACTGATCAAAGTGAAAATAAAAATGTAAGAAATATTTATATGTACTAATATGTATTTGAAATGCTTACTCATGCAAAATGTTTATATAAAGGCTTTCATGATGCAATTCCCTGGCTCTTAAATTTTAAAAAGTTCAGAATAAAATTCTTAATTCTGAATTTTCGTTAGTTCTTCTGAGGTTTAGACAGAAGTAAAAGAAACACCCCAAACTGGTCATTTATGAAACCATAAGTTCAGTGTGAAACTTGCTTCAAAACTACAAATTAGATGGGGGGAATTGGCTCACGCCTATAACCCTAGCACTCTGGGAGGCCAAGGAGGGAGGATGGTTTGAGCTCAGGAATTCAAGACCAGCCTGAGCAAAGGCAAGACTCCATCTCTACTAAAAGAATAGAAAGAAATTAACTGGACAACTAAAAATATTTAGAAAAAATTAGGCATGGTGGCGCATGCCTGTAGTCCCAGGTACTCGGGAGGCTGAGGCAGGAGGATCGCTTGAGCCCAGGAGTTTGAGGTTGCTGTGAGCTAGGCTGACGCCACAGCACTCTAGCCCGAGCAACAGAGTGAGACTGTCTCAAAAAAAAAAACAAAAAACAAAAAACAAAACTACAAATTATTTCAGACTAAATATATGTGCTCACATTTATTAAAATTGTCTACGTTACTCATAGGAACAAGCTTCATAGAATTTACATACTGAATACAATAAAAATCAGTTCTAATAAAGATTTAGCTGTCTTTCTAAATAAAAATTTCTGTGTTTGAGGTATCACTTTAAGACATGCCAATATGGCACAACCCGGGAGTCTATCTTAAAAATCCTGACCCATACAGCATCATCCCTGCAAGACTTACTAATAGGCTGAACTATACTAGTCTCTCTAAATAAGGAAGAAATATTTTAAGTGTTACAAAAACAAAGGGGGCAGATACTAGAAACTCTGCATTTCAGAAAACAGTGAAACTTTGTTATAAATATTTTCATTATCATCTTCTTACAGACACCATTCATTTAAAAAGTCCTGGTCAAGACCAATAAAGCAGCTTCATCTCCTGATATTAAAAATGCCTAGCAGTTTAAAAACAATAGTAAAGAATTTCACTATCTTTGTACATTACATTTTAGTATATAAAGCTATTAAATTTTTAGTGTCAAGAGCAAAGCATTACCCCCTACCTAGCTAGCTTTATCACTGGAAGGTGGACACCTGATTTAGCAATACTTATTAACAGCAATGTATATTACCTGTGTTTACAGCAGTAATGCCATTTTACTATCAATTTATGAAGTCATAACACTAGCCAAATACACAGAGACAAATCCCAAAAATGATGTGTTTTGTATATACACATACCTTGGGGCATGACTATCAAGTAATAAGACTGATTTAATACTTTATAGTCACAGCACATTAAAAATATATTGCCAGAAGGATAATAGTCCTATATATGAAAAATGTCTATATGGAAAAGGCTGTGATTTATTGCAAGCAAAGCAGAATATACAGCAAATTCCAAGGAAGGGCACATAATTTTTCAAAACAATTTTTTTTTATTTCAGGATATTATGAGGGTACAAACATTTTGGTTACATTTTATGACTTTGCTTCACCCAAGCGAGGATTAGAAGCATGCCCTTCCCCTCTACAATGCTCACTGCGACCATTAGTTGTGAATAAAAACAAATTTTTAAATGTAATGGCTTAGGCCAAAATCTCGGTTACTTTTTGGAGAATTCCAAACTATTAGGGGTTGAAGAATGCTTTTCTTTTTTCTTCTTCTTTTTTTCCTTTTTGTGATGTTTCCCCTTTTTTGATTTACTCTTTTTTTCTTTTTCCTCTTCTTTTGTCTGATGTTTTTCTTTCTTTTGTTTCGAAGTATCTTCTCCAGTGGAACTGGATGAATAAGACCTTTTCCTTTTTTGTTTCAATTTGATTTTCTCTTTGCTTTTTTCTCTTTTCTTCTCCTGTTCTTCATTTATTCTTTTTTCCTGTAATGCCTGCAATTTATCCAGTTCTTCTTTCTCTTCATCACTATCTTCACTGCTTGTACTGCTGATATCCAAAACTATGTCCTTCGTGGGGTCCACTCGGAGAAAATTGCGGCATTCAAAAGTCAGGTGACCAGGGTAGCCACATTTTTTACAGCCTGCTCTCACACTGCCCTTGCGGAAACCTGGGAATGCCATGACGGTGGTAAGAGAAGTCACTGGAGCCTTCAGCTTTCGAGAACGCGTTTGCTTCCTGGTGGCTGCGTGGACAACACACAGCCAAAGTGGCCCTTTTCTCGCACCCGCGATGGAGCAACTTCGCTACGGTCAGGGAAGGGCCTGTAACAAGGATTTCTTTAAATACATTTAAAATGGCTATATGTTAGAATGATATTTCTTTTTGAGATAAATAACTAGAATTAGTTGTTGTGAAGAAAGAGAACGCAACCGGCCAGGTGCGGTGGCTCACGCCTGTAATCCTAGCACTCTGGGAGGCCGAGGCGGGCAGATTGCTTGAGGTCAGGAGTTTGAAACCACCCTGAGCAAGAGTGAGACCCCCATCTCTACTATAAATAGAAAGAAATTAATTGGCCAACTAATATATATAGAAAAAACTAGCCTGGCATGGTGGCTCATGCCTGTAGTCCTAGCTACTTGGGAGGCAGAGACAGCAGGATTGCTTGAGCCCAGGAGTTTGAGGTTGCTGTGAGCTAGGCTGACGCCACAGCACTCACTCTAGCCTGGCAACAACAAAGTGGGACTCTGTCTCAAAAAAAAAAAAAAAAAAGAGAATGCAACCAAAAAAAAAGTCAGATTAACAATCAACTACCAAAGAAATCACAAATGCAATGGTAAGGTCAGGTATATTTGGCCTGGAGAAGACTGGCACTTACCTTCAGATGAAAGAAAGCAATTCAGCATATATATGTGAACTCTCCTTCTCTATCTCTGCCATTGAAAAGAGAACAGGAATAAGTTAAAACAGGAAGGTTTATTCGAGAGAAAAGGCAAAAAAGGATCCCACTGATGTAAGTTGAATAATATTAGAAAATATTATCTATGAAAGTTGTTAAGTCTCGTTACCTAGAGGTCTTTAAAATTAAAGTAGAAAGAATAACTACTCCAATTCTGGGCTGTGTATGGCATGTGCTTATATGTGTGAGAGTGAGAACAAAGTTATCAAATGGAAAATCTCAAATGGAAAGTTTTAGAAGGGGTTCCCCGTATTCAATTGCATTCAGAGTGATATAGTGTGAGCAAATGAATGGCAGCTTCCACAATGTAATTATTACAAAGAATGATCCTGCTGATGAATGCAAGGGACAAATGGCTAAAAAAAAAACTATGTTTACAAAAATCTCTTGTGAGTACAGAGTGGAAAAAATGCAGAATGAAAAAAATGCATTTGAAAAGGAAAGAAGTTATAAAAAGTGAAAGGGGCAAGATATTGCTGAAGGCAAATTTAAGGAACACACATCTGTAAAACTAGTGTTTCAACAGAAGCTTAACACAATCGGGACATGAGAAAAAAAGGAGAATCAAATTCAAAATTTAGTTTATCTCTATCTAGAAAAACACAATAAACAGGATAAGAATGTTTCTATTTGGGGGCAAATACTTCAAGGGAGCAAATAGAAGCACTTGATATCTAATTGCCCTCCATGCTTTACATTAAGAAGAAAAAGACAAAGGTAAGAAGAGGTGTACCAAGACATATATTTGCCTGTCCCAAAATCTCAGGATTCTAACCTGATGATTTTATAACAGGGATATATAGCATGGCTTCAGTACCTATTTAAAGAGAAGGGGAAGAGAATGACAGTGTGCTTTGTAGCAAAGAGCTTAAATGTGCAGGTTTTTGAATCTGACTACGGGGGTTCAAATCTAAGCTCAGAATGTTTACTCACTGTGGAAACTCAGACAAGTCTGTTAAGCTCATCACTCTCATGTAGAAAGAAGTCTAAGAAAAAAATTGAAAAAATTGGTTAATGAAAGCAGATACTAAATTAATAGTTTAATAAAATGAGGAAAAATGTAATTCTTTTTATAATGAAATATTTCCACTATAGTGGAAAGAGTGATTTTTACACGTTTTTCATGCACTCATTCATAAGATTCAGTGAACGCCTAGTGTCTTCTAGGTAATGCAATACAGGGAAGAATAAGACAGACCAAGGCCTATCTTTGCCTTTGGTGGGGTAGTGGAGTGGGATGAGGGGCAGAGTAAGACAATAAAAGTAAACAAATGATGCAGTAATTCTAGATTGAGACAGTTTTATTGAGAAACTAAAATAGGGCAATATTAGAGAGTGGGGGAAGAGGTCAATGTCTCAGATTATGTGGGCAGAGAAGTATTTTTTTTTTTTTTTGAGGGACTGAATTTTTCGATGAGATATGAAAGATGACGAGGGGTTCATGTGAAAATGTAGTGGTTGGTCAGCAAGAACAGAGGTCTCAGATGGGAAAGAGATATGTGAGAAGGCCAGAGAGCTGGAACAAGGTGCAAGGAGAGGAATAGGAGATGAGAGTGAGGAGGTAAGGCCTGGTAGAATGCTAAAGAGTGCAGATTTGTAGAAAGGAGTATGCAAGCTCTGGGTGCTACAAGGAAAGGACTGTAGGAGAACAAAAGGGGGTTGCTTAAACAACAAATTCACTTCTTAATTATTTTCCTAGAGAAAGGCCTGATAATAAATGCTACTTACTGTATTACTATAAATATGCAGAAATCCTGGTTAATAGAAATCTTGGGACACAAGAGTCTTGCTCTGTCACTGGGGCTAGAGTGCCAAGGCATCAGCCTAGCTGACAGTAACCTCAAACTCCTGGGCTCAAGCAATCCTCCTGCCTCAGCCTCCCCAGTAGCTGAGACTACAGGCATGCGCCACCACATCCAGTTAATTTCTTTCTATTTTTAGTAGAGACAGGGTCTCACTCTTGCTGAGGCTGGTCTCGCCTGGGCCTCCCAGAGTATTAGGATTACAGGCGTGAGCCACTATGCATGGCCACTTTTTGCATTTTTTTTATTATCTTTTTTTATTTCGGCATATTATGGGGGTACAGATTTTAAGGTTTCAATAAATGCTCATTTCCCCCCTCCCCCCACAAGTCTGAGTCTCCAGCATGACCATCCCCCAGATGGTGCACATCTCACTCATTATATATGTATATACCCGCCCCCCTCCTGCCTCCCACCTGCCCAATACCCTATTACTGTAGTACCTATGTGTCCACTTAGGTGCTGCTCAGTTAATACCAATTTGCTGGTGAGTATATGTGGTGCTTGCTTTTCCATTCTTGGGAAACTTCACTTAATAGTATGGGTTCCAGCTCTAACCAGGAAAATATAAGAACACTTTTTGCATTTTTAAAACTTAGGCCGGGCGCGGTGGCTCACGCCTGTAATCCTAGCACTCTGGGAGGCCGAGGCGGGAGGATTGTTCAAGATCAGGAGTTCAAAACCAGCCTGAGCAAGCTGTCTCTACTATAAATAGAAAGAAATTAATTGGCCAACTAATATATATATAAAAAAAAAATTAGCCGGGCATGGTGGCTGATGCCTGTAGTCCCAGCTACTCCGAAGGCTGAGGCAGAAGGATTGCTTGAGCCCAGGAGTTTGAGGTTGCTGTGAGCTAGGCTGATGCCACGGCACTCACTCTAGCCTGGGCAACAAAGTGAGACTCTGTCTCAAAACAAAAACAAAAACAAAAACAAAAACAAAAAACTTAGTAGATGATAACAGAAAATGACTACTTAGTGGTCATTCTCAACCAAGGGTGATTTTGATTCCCTCCCCCAGGGGAACATATGACACCGTTTGGAGATAATTTTGGTCATCTCAACTTGGGGATGGGGTGCTAATGGCATCTAGTGGGTAAACAACAACTATCCTAATCCACCTTCTCTCACTAATCAACCAACCAACCAAACAAACAAAGCCCACAAATGTAGGAGTTTTTAAAGGAATGAGAGCTTTATCAAAATTCCCTTTATAGGGTCACATTTTATAGGAAATATAATCCCTAAGTGCCATCTAAGACACAGGCAACCGATACAGTCATTGTGCTTAAGAAGTTATGCAATGCACATTGAGTACTAAGACGTTTTTTCTTTGTTTTACATGATCTATGCATCACCTATGCAAACCTGAAAGAGTCAGTCTCTCAAGATGAATCCTGAGTGGCTAACTGGGCCTAAATTTAAAATAGGGCCAAACAGCCACTTGCTCACTAGAGATCACTGGCATCCTCTGAGTTCCCATAAAACTCACCTTTGCTTAATTTTGCGACTTTCAGGGCTGACTCACTCGCCTGAACCAACCAATAAGCTATGGCATTCATTGACCAATCAGAACTCAGCAGGCATCAGCCAATCAGAACTAAGCAAGTTTGAATCCCTCATTTGAAAGGAGGACCTGAGCAGGAGCTTTCTCTACGAAAGCTAAACCTTCCCTTTTTTCTCTGGAATGCACCTTCATTTTACACCAAAGACTGGTTTGCAAACTGTTCACTGGAATAAAGTCTCTTCTAAATTCCTTTTTACAGAACTTTTGTTCACATCTGATAAACTTCACAACTGATAAACTTCTTAAATGATTTTTAAAATTATACTTTTAAATAACTGTAAACAAAAGTTTGATATTTTTCTGAATGATTTTAGTGTGTAATCCAAAAATACATTCTTACACTACCATGACAGTTCTCTTGCCTATGCAAGTGATAGCAGATCACATAGCAGTAATAAAACACAAAAGGATATTTTTCAGGAAGAATGAAAGAGATTGTCACACAAGCAGTAATGTATCTGTTAATAAAATCAATACTAGCTGAGGTATTTAAGATTTTTCCTTATTTATCATGAAAACATTTTTTTCTGTTCCTGATTCAATTTTCTCATCAAATATCAAATATATTCAAGGCACTCCTTTAAATGTTAATGGAATTAAGGCAAAAATGTTAAGTTGAAATTATCTGTTCCCTATAAAATGAAAATTTATATTTGATGACATAAATCTATCTAGTGTTATACTGAAGAAATAAAGATGATTTCTATCTCTAAGCAAAGCCTGAGCAGTTTTTAACTACAAATTATGCTCATTGATATTACTTATACAACATAGTTGTAGGGTAATGAGTAAGCAGGCAGCTAATGCTATTCTTGGCAACTGAGGTAGGAAAAGGAAGTAACATGTTCTATCTTAATAGAGCAAATCTATGAATTACGGAATTTGAAACAAAACTCAAAATGAGCCTAGAAGTAACTCTGAAAAGAAGAAAAAGAGGAGAACATGACACTGAAAGCCAAAGCCTAAAATTTACATGAGGTAAAGAGAAAATATTCACCCTTTTCTTTCCTGTCCTAAATTCATGAGGTGTGAGCAAAGGATTTTGGAACTTCCAAGGAAGCCAAGAACACAACTGAGAATGTGCTAAAGCTAGTAGAAGCTGCCTATGCACCCAAGAAAATACTTAAGAGTAACTCTTACCTTTGAGACTCTGGGAAGGTGATAGCCAGTATCTGCTGCAATGAACATATAACAGGATGTTTTCATATGAGAATAAAAGATTTTAAGTTTCCACACATTCTAACATTCTCTATATAATTATACTTCTCTCTTTGCCCAACAAAGTTCTGGGTTATAGTTGTCAAAGCTTGTGGAAGATTACATCAATAGCCCCACTTCTTCACTCTTTCCTTTACCCATGCCCTTTGTTATCTAAATTTTCCTATGATCCCCCAGTTTAGGTGGAACACAGTTTTCTGTCCCTTGATTCTGATCATGGCCATAAACTCAATTTAGTCAAACAGAACCTTGAAATGGATTGAACATTTTAATACTAGAAAATAAGAGTTATTTCAATACTTGAGAGTGTATGGAAAAGCTATAGTTTCTACTTGAGATTTCACTCAGAGTTAGGGAAGGAATAGTTGACAGAATATAGAGGAAAACATCTAGCTGATTTGAAACAATAGCTTTTCATGCAACTAAAAGTCTGAAACAGGAGAATATTGTTTCTTGGTCACCATCAGTAAAAAGAAAACTATCCAAAGGGTAGAATTGAGGTATCTGGGGAAATGCCAGATGTATCTTGTAAGTTAGAAATATTTCCTGATAAAACCATCTAGCTATTCCATAAGAGGACTGGACATAAAGTTAAAATTTATTATTTTATCCCCAGTGCCTGGTATAGGGCCTGTATATAGAAGTTGCTTAATGACCATGTGAGGAGTAAATAGATTATTAGAAATCATCCTTGAAATAATGTTTATACATTTATGTACTTACACCACAAATAATTGTTGAGAAACTACTATGTACCATGCCTATGGCAAGTGCTAGGGACACAGCCTTCATGAACAAAATATAAAATCACAGCCTTCATGCAGCTGACAGTCTGGTTTCAGAAAACAGAACAAAGTACAAAATGGTCAGATGTTGCTAAGTACTATGGAGAAAATATACATCAAAGAAAAGGGATGGGTGAGTTGCAATGCTCCGGTCCCTGCAACTTTAAAGAGATGGTTAGGGAAGGTCTCACTAGAAAAACAAGGACATTTGAACAAATTTTTGAAGAAAGTGAAGGTAGGAGCCATGTAGATATTGAGAGTGTTCTGGATAAAAAGAAGGGCAGGTGCAAAGGTCCTGAGGCAAGTGTGCCTGATGTACTTTAGGCACAGCAAGGTGTGTAGTATGGCTGGGGCAGAATAAGGAAGAGAGAGACTATTAAGTGAAGAGTTCAGCTAGGTCAAGGGAGCCAGATCTTGCTGAGCTGAATAGAACATAGTTAGAACTTTAGCTTTTATTCTAAGTAAGGTAGAAACACATTGATTTTGAACAAAGAATTAGGGAAGATATGACTTACCTTTTAAAATAATCCCCTCTAGATATTGTGTTGAGAATATACTAGTAGAGGGAAAAGGCAGAAGCCAGGGGAAGTGACTATTACAAATTTCAATTTAGAGATGATGGTGGCTTTGACACTGGTGGTAATGATAACTAATGTGGTGAGAACTGGTAGGATTCTGAACACATTCTGAAAGTCAGACAGACAGTATATATTAGAAAACTGAATGTAGAGGGTAGTAAAAATGGAAAAGTCAAGAATGACTCCATATTTTTTGCCTGAGAAACAGGAAGGATAGAGTTGACATTTGACTTAACTTCAGATACTGCCATAAGATATGCCAAAAAAGTCCACATTCCACAAAATAAGTTAGCTAGAGAACTCGTAGCCAACATACATGTTTGTTTTACGCTAATGAGTTTGAAGTTGAAAATTTTAGATGAGATACATTTGAATAACTCTATTTTTAATGCTATTTCCTAAAATCAAAAATCACTTTGCTGTTCCCACTATGAAATGTTCTTTCTTCTTATAGATAGAGTATTTAGACATCTACATGTTTTATATATGGTAGTGCATCACTTAACAACAGGGATGTGTTCTGAGAAATGTATCCTTAGGTGATTTTGTTGTTATATAAGCATCACAGAGTGTACTTACACAAACCTAGATGGTATAGCCTATTACCCATCTAGGCTATGGCCTATTCTTCCTAGGCTCCAAACTTGTACAGTACATTATTGTGCTGAATACTGTAGGCAATTGCAACACAATGGAAAGTATTGGTGTATCTAAACACATTTAAACAAAGAAAAGGTAATGCACTGGGCTACAACATTATGACAGCTAGGTGATAGGAACTTTTTAGTTCCATTATAATCTTATGGGACCACTGTCATATATGTGGTCCATTGTTGACCTAAATGTCATTATGTGAGGCATGACTGTATAAACATGTTCTATGAGTTACCTGCACCTAAAATTCAAAAATGGGTGACTCATACCTTTATTGTCTTCCAACATAACACTGGAAATGTAAAAATTAAGCCCTGCATCATCATAAGATGTGGATGAATTATAAGATCCTTATACAAAAGTATCTCTTTTCAGAACACAGTCATCAAGAACTAAAGTCTTACTACCCTAAGGTCATAGGGAGGAAACGAAAAGTGAGAGAGGCAGGCATCCAAAACAGAGATTCTAAGTCTTAAGATTCAATCTATCTATTTTGATTTTGAACTGGCCTCAAAGATTTTTCTTCCACAAAATAAAATGGAGAAACATCAAATACCAGTGATAGTTGGAATAAAAACCACATTGTTATAAATAACTGCTATAACAATTTATGTATAATATAATCTGGGAGACAGAGGTGCATATTGGGCACAAGAGGGTTGGAACTATAAAAGTCCTGGTTTCAAATTCTGGCATTATCACTTACTACAGGGGTTCAAACCAAATGCTTGATTCAGTTTTGGAGTTTCAAGTTTTTTCCTCTATAATATGGTAATAATGTCTTCCTCAGGCCATCATAGTATATTAAATGAAAAAGAAAGTAATGTGTATAAAAAGGACTTACACAGCTTCTAGAATATGGCATTTGCTTATTCATATTATTGGTTCCCTGTAAAACAAGAAAAAACACCAAAATAAAAATCTTAGGTAGGTACAACTGATGAAGCAAAAAAGGACATTGCTCTATTTATCAAACCACATAAGACAGAAACTAAAAGAAACTACTGCAAAAATAATATGAAGAAATGTGGAGCTGAGACTCTTTTAGATTGTAAAGAGACTCTTGTTAACCTAATAAAGATAAAGGAAACTTGATTGGCCTAAGGGAAACTCCCAGTGATAAAATGGTGAGAATACATAGATTTGTGCTGAATGCCTCTAAGAGAATAGAACCTGAAGGCATATTCAAGGAATTGACAGTATTTTTTTTTATTTCAGCATATTATGGTGGTACAAATTTTAAGGTTTCTAATAATGCCCTTGCCCCACCTCCCCCTACAAGTCTGAGCTTCAAGCGTTACCAACTCCCAGACGGTGCACAGTATTATAATTGAGTCTGATAGAAACTTCAATATAAACACAGCAGAGAAAAAAATTGAACCATTAGCATAAATGCCATTATTATTATTGTATATTTATACATTCTTTCTTGTTGAAGTAAGATTTTATTTAGTACATGTACCAGTTATTGTATTAGTCACTTATTAATTATTATATTTAGATATTGTTTATAATTTGTAAATGTTTCTAAATCAACAGTATCGTGGCGTTGATTTAAATTTTCTCATGAAATGATTATGATTTGTATTCAATTCCCCAAGTTCCTCAGCTGTATTATCATAGAGAAGTTTCTTGTACTATAATCTACTGTAGACCACACTGTAAAAGAGGTGTGTGGAAGTTTTTCTGTACTCTACTTAAGAACTGTCATACATCTCCAATGCTATATAAAATGAAGTGACTGCTACAAATAGAACTCTTCAAGTCCAAATGTGCTTGATGCTGCCTAATTCTCAGTTTTTTTTTCCTTGCAATAACAGGGTTAATGTTTTGGAAAAATATTTTTTTAAAAGAAAACTGCAGAAGTTGCTGCTACATCAAAAATCAACTTGGTTACTATTAAAATTATATTTAACAGAGTTGTCACATCCAAGCTTCTATTTTTCAGTTGGCTATACACAGATGTGGATCTAAAGGAGGAAGTGCGTGACTTTCATCTTGTCTTGATAATTTTATGTTGATTACAAATTATATAGATTGAAGAAATGTGAAATAAAGTGTAATGAAGGCCAAGAAAAGAAGGGGGATAGCATAGTTCAATGGCTGAGAAAACCAATTTTGGAATTGGAACGACAAGTTGAACACACAGTTCCTTAACTTATTAGCTGTGTGACCTTTGGCAATTTATTTAATTTCTTTAGGTTTGTTTCCTGACCCTAAAAGGATTATTAATATTCCTATATCACTGGATTAGTGTGAAAATTAAGAAAATAAATATAAAGTTCTTGTTATAGTGTCTTGAATATAGTAAGCACTCAAGTATTATAGTTGATCAATTATGTTATCACCTTTCTTTATAATAATAATAAGCACTAAAGTATTATTAGGTAGTTGTCATGGTTATTATCATCATTATTAAGAGAGAAATAAAATAATAGATCTGTGATAGTCAATACTCTCTCTTGGGTAATTTCAACTCAGAGTTTCCCTTTGGCCCAGTCCTTCCCTAAGAATGAGGAGTGTGCTTATGGAAAAATTTGAGGAAATGTTTTCCCTATTGTGCTAGAAGATAGAGCTTTAGGCTGAGCTGGACAGAGCAAAGGACTTAACCAACCCATTCTTGGAACAATACCCTCCCCCAGGAGGGATAAATGAGTGACACAAATTTAAGCCTTAAGAAGACCCAACCCCATTTTCTCTCATTCTTACTAATGATCTATAGGTCTCTTGCTCCTGCTTCTTATTTGGACCAGCCTTTTCTTTTCTTTTTCTTTTTTTGAGACAGAGTCTCACTCTTGCCGGGGCTAGAGTGCCCTGGTGTCAGCCTAGCTCAACACAGCCTCAAACTCCTGGGCTCAAGCGATCCTCCGGCCTCAGCCTCCCGAGTAGCTAGGGACTACAGACATGTGCCACCATGCCTGACTAACTTTTTCTATGTATTTTTAGTTGGCCAATTAATTTCTTTCTATTTTTAATAGAGACGGGGGTCTCGCTCTTGCTCAGGCTGGTTTCGAACTCCTGACCTTGAGCAATCCTCCCGCCTCGGCCTCCCAGAGTGCTAGGATTACAGGCGTGAGCCACCGCGCCAGTTGGACCAGCCTTTTCTTGACATAGATGTCATATGTGGACTTGGTCACGACATAGGTGATTAAAGTTTCTTTTGTCAGAGGGCCTAAGTCTCGTTCCCGAAACACCTGATGAGTGACAGTGGTTTTTGTTGTTTTGTTTTGTTTATTTATTTATTTTGTTTTTATGTCAGGGTTTTTAAGGTACAAAACCCTTTTTGGAAAGAACATACTGGGCGGCAGTCCCCTTTAACAAATATAGTGTTTGTTACATAAACACATTCTTTTCAAGCCAGAATTCTGGGAGAATCACAAGATTCGGGCCAAATGAGACTTCCTAGACATCCTAGAGCAGGCCCAGAGATTCACTTTTTAAGAGTAGGGGAAGGGAGAGGCAAAATGGAGGGATGAAGGTTGGGGGTGCTCCGGGTGGGGGAAAGTGAGAGGTAGCAGGGCCTCCGGGGGGAACCCTGCTACCTCTGGCCTCCCCGGAGCCGCCGCCGCCACCCCGTAACCACTACCGATCCACAACCTTCCATTACGATCCCTCCCCTCCCCCCCGCCCCCCAACCGCCACCTCGGCCACCGTTGCTACCACAGTAGCGACGCCGGTTGCCCAGGATACACAAAGCGGAGGCCCACGCCGAGACTAGGCCTGGCGAGTCCAGGCCACAGGTCGTCATGGCGGGAAAGTGGCACCGTGTAAAAGTCTATGTCTTAAATAATGACCAGCAGTGGGATGACCTAGGCACCGGGCACACCATATTGACTTACCACGAGGTGTTCCACGGCATGGCTCTGCTAGTTAGTTCCGAGGCAGACAATTCACTGATCCTGCAGTCGAAAATAAATCCGCACACGCACTATCAGAAACAGCAGGGGGCGCTAATTTTTTGGTCCGAAGCTGAGAATCATGGTATGGCGCTGAGTTTTCAGGACGCAGCCGGCTGTCGTGCGCTCTGGGAAGACATTTGCCACGCTCAAGGTAAAGACCCCTCGGTCGAAATCACACGGGATCTTTTGGGTGAATCAGAAGAACAATCTGGCGAAATGCCTGAAGCCAGTAATCTGATTGAACTGCCAAACTGTGAACTGAATACACTCGAACAAATTGCCGATTTAGTTACCTCAGTTTTCTCCTCATCTATCCATAGGGATAGTCTGGCTCAAGTCTTGGAAAATGAGCATTATATTCAAAAACTACTGCAGCTGTTCCACGTTTGTGAAAACCTAGAGAATATTGAAGGTTTACACTGTTTGTATGAGATTATGAAAGGAATCTTATTCCTCAATAAGGCATCTCTGTTTGAGATCATGTTTTCCGATGAGTATATTTTGGATGTGGTCGGTTGCCTTGAATACGACCCTGCTTTGGCTCAGCCAAAAAGGCATAGGCTTTTCTTGACCCAAAATGCAAAGTTGAAGGAAGTTATACCGATAATGGACTTTGAACTTAGGCAAAAAATACATCAGACATACAGAGTACAGTACATTTACGACATTCTTTTGCCTGTACCATCCATGTTTGAAGAGAATTGTCTTTCTACCATTACAACGTTTATTTTCTTCAACAAGGTTGAGATAGTCAGCATGGTACAGGAAGATAACAGGTTTTTGTCTGAAGTTTTTATACAGTTACGGGATAAGACTACAAATGATGATAAACGGCGCGAATTGTTGCTTTTTTTCAAGGAATTCTGTACCTTCTCTCAGACATTACAGTCTCGAAGTAAAGATGCACTGTTCAAAAAGTTGACACAATTTGGAATTCTTCCTGCTCTTAAAATTGTAATAGGCACAGTTGATTTGCAAATAAGGTCAGCTGCTACCGATATATTTGCTTATCTAGTAGAGCACAGTCCTTCTATGATCCGAGAATTTGTAATGGAAGAAGCCCAGGAGAGGGAAGACGATGACCTTTTCATTAACATAGTAATTGAACAAATGATCTGTGATACTGATCCTGAGCTAGGAAGTGCTGTTAATTTGATGGGACTTCTCCGTGCTCTTCTTGATCCAGACACCATGCTGGTAACACCTAGTAAATGTGAAAGAAGTGAGTTTCTAAATTTCTTCTATAAACATTGCATGCATAAGTTTATAGCACCACTTTTGGCCACCACTTCAGAAAACAAATGGGAAGAGGATAATATAGTTGAAGCTAGTGAAAACCCAATTTCACCCAATAATTATCAAACAGCACAGCTGCTTGCTTTAATTTTAGATCTACTTACATTTTGTGTACAACATCACGCATATTACATAAAAAACTATATTTTGAGCAAAGACTTGCTAAGAAGAGTCTTGACCTTGATGAATTCAAAGCACACTTTCTTGATCTTGTGTGCTCTTCGCTTTATGAGAAGGATGATTGGCCTTAAAGATGAGCTTTATAATTGTTATATCATCAAGGGAAATCTTTTTAAGCCAGTTGTAACTGCTCTTCTGAATAATGGAACTCGGTACAATATGTTAAATTCAGCTATTATTGAGATGTTTGAATACATAAGAGCAGAAAATATCAAGTCTCTTATTGTACATGTAGTCGAAAAGTTTTATAAGGCATTTGAATTGATTGAATATGTTCAGACATTCAAAGGATTGAAGTTTAAATATGAGCAAGAGAAAGACAGACAAAGGCAAATACGGAAAAATGTACGTACTGTACTGTATGATACAGAATTTCAAAGAGATGCCGACATCGAGGAGGTGAAGGAAGAAATGTGTTTTAAGGAAGATGAAGGAGAAGCAGGTATGCCTCCATTGGAAAATGACTTTCCAGATCGTTATGGTAAATTGGTGGAGACTAAAAGAACAAGAGAAAAT